TAGCCAGAGTTAAACCACGGCACTCTGTCATGAAGGTACTCATGACTGTTGGAAGGCAGATTACTAAAGGAATCATCGGTCCGATCATCTCCTGCATTACTAGGAAGCATGTTTAAAATAATCTCGGCACTGAAAGACACGATTACCAGAAAACCACAGTGTGTTTCACCTAATCAAAAGTCTGGTTTCATCTGTTGCAGTTACTACAAAGGTATTCGTCAGATGGTGCCGGTTAGTGACCAAGACATGAATACCCATCTAGCAGAGATTTCTAGGGTAAGAATAAATTCCATTTTCTTGTCCTGAAACTGGAGCCAAGGATAGCGCTGTTTTCCTTTGCCTTCTCTTTCTCACTCAACCAGCGGGTTTCTGTATGTGCAAACATCAAGTGCATTATTTCATAGATCTCTGAAATACTCGTGTTTAGTGTAGTTGTGCCTTGAAGCCCTTTGAAATGCTGATTACTGAATGGAACCAAGAGTGGTTATCATCACTAATCTGAGTGATGTAGGTGCCAGAGCAAAGCATCTGGATTTTTTTTCACATCCATTGTGGAAAAATTATAGCATGTGAGTTGTGTTTTCTTGCCACAGCGTATAGAGGAATTTCAGCATTGCTCATACGGATAACAGGTAATGACTGAATTCAGAGTGCTACCACAGCAAAAATTAGATTCCAGAAAAGAAAGATGAGCACGTTCGTGAAGTACAGCCTGTTTTAGAGCTGCCTAAACGAGGGCAGTACTTCTGCTTCACGCTGTATGTGAGCAGCTCGCCGTGTTCCTGCTTAGCGGCACCTTCTGCCTTACAAGTTATGGGGGCGGTTACCTCTCCTGGAGAAGAGCCGGGAGGGGGGATGGCTGCTGGCTGGGGACTGTGCTTGGAACGAGCAAAGACACTGCAGACCTGCTTCAGTCTTGAAAGAGCGTGTCCGCTCTGCAGCTCAGCCTAGCTGGAGCAGGCTCGTGCCTTCCAAGCGCTCAATCGAAGCTGGAGCACTGGGAGAGGTGCCTGAAAAGATGTTGTTTAGCCTGAGCAAAGAGACAGTGTACTTACTGGCTGGTTTGCTCATTTGCTTAATTTAGTTGAAGAGCTCTAGCGTAAGGAGGATGTTTGGGGAATTTTTTGTGGTTTGTTTATTTCGGTGCCCTTAGGACCTAACATTTTGCAGATCAACATCCTCATGAGAGCATTTCCATTTTCAGTCGTTCACTACAACACTCATCTCCAGTGACATTTCATTTTCCAGCTCACTTTATTTATTACACAAATTGAGATGTGTATAGGATTAAAATGTTTGGTGATTCAAAGGAAATTCAGTGGAATGTGTTAATAGGAGCAGAATATGCCCGTCCTTCCTAGTTACATGGTAAATTATGATAAAAATGGGTATGAGCGAACATTGCAAATTTTGACCAGCCCTAGAAGTAACTTTTATAGAGCAAGGCAAGATGGATGTTCCTCTGCTGCTTTAAGCCTTGGGTAATCATTTATGCCAGTAGCAATATTTTGCAATTCTTCCTTTTCTTAACTGACTTAAAAGACTAAAGGTATAGCTAGAGACTTGAATCCTTTATGTTTGAATGAAAACCATCTGTTTAGACAGGTAGAGCACATTCACTAAATATGTTAAACATCGGGGGGGGAGGGAGGAAGAGGTAATAGAGGGGTTATTTCCTGCTTCATTTGAAGTCCTTTTCTCTCTCTCTTCCCTTTCCATCTTCATGATTCAGATGGCTTTTTTCCAAACGTATGTGTGTTCGTGGTCTTGATGACTTACACCTTTGCTGTAGTGAGGTGTGAATAATTTCCTAGACTTAAAAAGAGCCAGAGAAAGGATTTCAAACGGCCATGACAGTGACAGAACCAGTGCTTAATATCTCAACAATACGTAGATTGTACGGAGTAAATGCTTTAGTTACACACACTCATGTTGTCAACAGATGTTTGAGCTGTAGCCTGTGGGTTGACTTTCAGAGTTCAAAATACTTTCCACCTTCAGTGTCAGAGTTGTGGGCAGGCTGGAAAAACACCAGCAGGAAAGCCTTGATCTAAAGATCACCCAACAAAAGTTTTCTCACCCCTTTTTTTCTGCCCCAACTGTCATTTAACAAAATGTTACAGGATGCAGAGCTTGCATTTGGAAATCTTGTAGGTTGTGTCCAAGTTGTGCATAACTTCCAGCTGTCTGTGATTGTGTTTTGATGCATTTGCTGCCTGCTTGTGTTGTTTAACAGGCACACACCGATTCCTTAAATACGCTTGTGGCTCTACACCAACTCTACCAGTACACTAACAAATACTATGATGAGGTAAGTTGTGGCTTTTGTTTTCTTTTTTTTAATATCAATGGTAAAAAATGATGAAGGCTAACAATAGTCTAGAGGAACAACTTCTGGAAGTCCCTGGACAATCAGGTAAAAGCAGTGCTGAACAGAAGGCTCCAACTTTGCAGTTATACAGCTTGCTTGGCAGTTGCACTGGTCAAGGGGGTGTTCTTATAAATCAACAGTTTCATTATGGGCTGCCTGGTTTGGCAGTGATAGTTTAACAGGATTTTAAAGAACAAGAACTCCTAGGAATTAGGATGGTAGAACTAAAGAGGAAGGATTTTAAAATCTGTTTCTCTATCAGATCTTGTTAAACTATCACTACCAAAACCAGAGAGCCCATAATTCCAAAGAATTAGGACATAGGAATGTCACCGAGAAAATAGTAGTCATCAGGGCTGCATCAGGTTTCAAGACAGTGTTGGTTTTCATTAGGAACAATCCATTAAACTTGGTTTGCTTGGAGGAATGAGGCTGTGCCTTTTTTATTAGTTAAGATGCACTTAAAGCTTCCGTGCCTGCTACCAGCCCTGTTTTGCCGTGCCAAGTGAAGTGCCTGCCCAAGGTAAACCAGAGTAACTGTTGAAGACAGCCTGGTTCAAAGGCTCGCAGATTCAGCCCAAAATGTTTCTTAGGTTTTTCATGCCCTGTGGAAAGGGGGACAAAGAATATCCCAGTGTAGCTGGGCTGTGGCTATGGCTCTCCAGACTTAATCTGAAAACAAAAAGAGAGAAGGAAACTTTTACTCAGCGGTTTCCATGGAAATGAATGCCTCCAGAAAACTCTCAGAATTAAATCAAAGCAAGTAAGAACAGATGCTGAATCAAAAAGGAGCCCAGCACATGTGAGCTCTCTTTGGTTTGTCTTGCACCTCAGCACGGTTCGTGTTTTCACTGACATGTAGCACTGACGGCAGTGAGCCTCATCCTCAGCTTGACTGCAGCTGCTTCGTACAGCAGCAGCAGCCCGTCGCAGCTTCTAAACAGCGGGCAGCAGGGACAATCAAGTCACTCTGACCAGCCTCGCAGCAAGGGTCAGCCGAGGAAGTGGCCAGAGGAATGCAGGGCAAGGCCGCCTCGCCCCTTGTCCCCAGCCCTCACCGAGCTGGTTTTCGGTGCCTTCCCAAACGCACCCGCGGCCTGACCACCTACAAAAACGCCCGGGCACCCTGGCTGGCAGATGAACCCTAAAGCCCCAATTCTTCCGCGCCCCTGTTCCCTGCTTCCAGCCGTGGTTTCACGTGTGGTGGCAGGCGCGGGTGACGTCCCCGGTCTGTGGGACTCCCTCAGCGGTAGGCCCCGGCGCGTAGCTGCGGCTCGTCCTTTGGCATGCGTCGCTGTGTAACGACAAGGTGCGTCCAATGAAAAGGCTGCTAATTCGGAGTTCTGGAGATAATCTGTCAAGAACCATTCAGTAAAATTAATCGAGCTTATTTATTTTCCATGAAAATGTTTTAATTTGCATAAATTGGAACATTTTGCAGCTGCCCTTGTCTTTATTACTGACGCAGTGGTTCCCAGCATGCGCTGTACCTTCTGCATCTCTGCGGGGCTTGACAGTGACTAAGTGGGCACATTCTAATTGTCCACATTTATATGAAGGATATATTCACCAGCAGAGATAATCATGAATTATTTAGTCTAGATTTGAGGAGTTACAGCTAGATGTAATTGTTTAAATTAAGGGAACAATATCAAATTAAATTAGGCCCAATTTAAATACTGTAATAAGTGTTTATTAACACTGTCTTGTAAAAATGTTTTCACGCTTTAAAAACAAATCCATTAAAATAATTATTCCTAAACAAATTTGCTCTAGTGTTTGAAACTCAAATGCTATACCCATCCTTCAAAGTGAAATTATGGACTAGATTGATACTGACTGCATTCATCTCCCTTGTCAGTGATGCACAAGAAGTAATAAGAAGCACAGGTAGTGACAGGCAAACTCTGCTTCTCCTGTTCCTGTACCTGCAGGTTTAGTATTTAAAGAGAGCTAAAGGTTTCTGCTTGATTACAGTGTCTGACTTTTATTAATAAAGCCAGTTCTAGGAAAGGAACGCTTTTGCCGTCTAACACATTCTTCTGATGGAGAAATCTAATAGTTGGTGGAAAAGTTTCCCTAAAGGATGATGAAAATGAAAACCTTTTGGAACCTTTGAAATGTGATCTTGAGAAGCCCTAAAAACTCTGTTTGAAGAAAAGACTTCTCATAACAGTTGACCTTTTCTGGCTCTTATTTTCAAATCCCTTGTGTCTTAGAGTCATGCCTTCCCATATATATATATATATTCCATGTAGCAGAGGCTGCGTGAGGGATGCTGGGGGGCTCCTCTGACAAGCTCTTTGCTCCCTGAGCTACGTGGTGCTGAGCCAGAGCCTCGGCATTTCTTGGCGAGAGCCAAAGGGAAGCTGCCATCAGCTCCCCGATGCTGTGGCCAGTCCGTTTTTGTCATGGGATTGCCTGTAGACACAAGAGACTGTGTGTTGCCCTGCCTTATGCTTAAGTACTGCTGGTAAATGACCGTTAAGCCATTTTGGGGTGCACTGTAAGAAAAAAGAATCATAGAATCACAGAATGGTTTGGGTTGGAAGGGATCTTAAAGATCATCTAGTTCCAACCCCCCTGCCATGGGCAGGGACACCTTCCACTAGACCAGGTTGCTCCAAGCCTCATCCAGCCTGGCCTTGAACACTTCCAGGGATGGGGCATCCACAGCTTCTCTGGGCAACCTGTTCCAGTGCCTCACCACCCTCTCCGTGAAGCACTTCTTCCTGATATCTAATCTAAACCTCCCCCCTTTCAATTTAAACCCATTCCCCCTTGTGCTGTCACTACAGGCCCTTGTAAAAAGTCCCCCCCCAGCTTCCTTGTAGCCCCTTCAGGTACTGGAAGGCTGCAATAAGGTCTCCCTGGAGCCTTCTCTTCTCCAGGCTGAACAAGCCCAACTCTCTCAGCCTGTCCCCATAGCAGAGGTGCTCCAGCTCCCTGAGCATCTTCATGGCCCTCTCTGGACTCGCTCCAACTGGTCAATATCCTTCTGACGCTGAGGGCTCCACAGCTGGACGCAGCACTCCAGGTGGGGTCTCACAAAAGCAGAGCAGAGGGGGAGAATCCCCTCCCTCGACCTGCTGGCCACACTTCTGATGCAGAGGAGAAGGACTGTTTCTTAAATAGCTATAAAGACGGTGTTCTCCCTGCCTGCTCTGTCTTGGAATGACATACTTCACAAGATGAAATACTACCTGTTAATTTGCTTGGATACCAGCATAATGGAAAACATCACAGCAACTTAGATAAAGTAGTGAAGATGGTCATTATTGCCTTTGTGTAAGAAGAGGACGTGGGGCCTCCTAGATGGGCCTTTGTCTTTGGTACAGAGAGAATACAAGAGTCTCTACAACCCAAGTAATACCAAGCACTTGATCCAGGAACCGTGTCGTATATTTTAAGCTAAATGATGTGAAACGTTCTGTGTTTATCTCTTCCAGATTATAAATGCACTTGAAGAGGATCCAGCTGCACAAAAAATGCAGCTTGCCTTCCGTTTACAGCAAATAGCAGCTGCGTTAGAGAATAAAGTGACTGACCTTTGACTCAAAACCCGCAATAAAGAAATCTGATCTGAAGATGTTCAAATTCATTCTTCCTGTTAAGGAAATAGTGTTCTATTTTTTAATGTATAATTACAACTTTAAATGAAAGATTTCATGTTTTTTTGATAGCAGAGGTGTAATGTAAAAAATTTCTACTGTAAATTATGCTTCTAATTAAAAGCTGTGTTGTGTGTAAATGAATCTTCTGTGGGAAGGAGAGTCCTTCGGTTGGGGGCAGGGTGGGGGGTGGAAGAAGGAAAACCTGTAGTTCGTTTAATTTAGTAGAATCTAAGACATCAGCATTTAGGATTCATTATGCAAGGAAATTCAGTACTATAGCATCCTTTCTACGCTAAGCAATATTTGTACTCGTAAAACAATAACCTACTCAGTGATACATGCAATATCCCCTTTTATTTTGATAACTGGAAATTGACTTCCACGTAGCTCTAAAAGCCTGTCTGTGCTCAGAATGAACGTGGGGAACCACACGCCTGGTTTCTCGGCGAGATCTGACAGTGGGGTTTGCTACCATGCCCGGTTCTTCATTTAATTATTTATGTCCACGATGATGCGCAGTATCGCACCCGCCACGGTTGGCCGCGACGGAAATGAGAGTAACGTCAGCGTCGGGGGGTTCTGCTGATAAAGCCTCATTCGGTTCAGAAATCACTGCAAAGGAGGAATTAGTCCTTAAAACTTTACAACTCTTTGTTATTATTGTGAATTTTATGATATATGCTAATGTGCCTTACTTGTACTAATTCTGTGAATCTGATGAATGGTTTTGTAAAAAAGAAGCAGATCAGAAAAAGAAATATTTATGTGCTATTGAATGACTTCTGTGTGAAAAACATGACCAGCAGAATGCTTGTAATTAGCTGCTTGCCGAGAGTGTGCTGTTTAACATGATTTGATTCTGTATAATATCTTATTTCACGACGGTTCTGATGGTTTTCTTTATTTGAATCTTGGAACCGTCCTAGAAACACCATCACTTGTTTTTATTGTATTTGTGATGTAAAATACTAGTTACGATGTTGGAAGAGAAATCACGTGCCCGTCTGTTGAAAACCACTTGGTCAGTTCCTGAGCCTTGGAATGCTGCATTTGACGGAATACGCATAATACGGCCCCTGGCAAAGGCAGCGGAAATAACGCGTCGGACAGTGTGTGTTTACAATGTAGGTAAAGCTCCGTACAAATCAAAACGTTAGGTACGTCCTCTTAACTTGCTGTATTGCACATCGGAGAACCTTATTCCTCTTTGTCTCGCAAGTTTTTTGGGCAGTAAAGTAGCATTTTAATGAAGCGCTGCCATCCGTACTCCTCCGTTCATCGTCCTGCCCGGCGCCTGGACTCTGCGAGCTCGCGCAGAGCCTGCTCCCGCTCTCCCCGCCCCGCGGTAGGTTGCCACCCGGTGACTTCTAGTGTTTGTTGATACTTCCCCCCACCCCCCCGTTTTGAAAATACCCCGGTATTTGTCAGTGGGCCTTTCCTGCAGTCTCCCAACACCGAAAACCTCGCCAGAACTGGTTTCCCACCCAGTAGGCTGGGAAAGGGGGTTTTTTGGTTTGTTTTGTATTCGACTTTCTTGCATTTGTGTATAATCGTTCCTGAACCCGCCCGGGCTGTGAGTTACATTACACTGCTTAGGACTGAGGTACTTCTGCATAAAGGTGCTTTGCCAGCGACTCCTTCACCAACAAAAGCATCCTAATTTTGTGGCTAATCTGTTTCTTTGTCATCGTCTGTAAATCCTGTTAATTGTAAATCAAATACAATGTTGGTTTTTGTTTTTTCCACCGAGTGTCACAGGATCTTTACTGAAACCCGGGGTCGGGGAGGGGTGTTGGAAGGGGGTTTGTAACGCTTCCTCCAGGGGTGGTAGAGCAGCAGCGTCCCTCAGCCCGCGGTTGGTGACGGAGGAGCGCAGCACACCCCGCAGCACACCTGGCACCGTGCCCTTTCTGTGGGCATTTCCTCTGAAAAATGAGAGCGCTCCTGAGACGGGAGGATGTCACGCAGCGTCCCGTAGCGAGGTCGTCTTGCCTGATGAAAACCTGCCTCGGGACCCGAAAGCCAATTGAAATACCAACTCGGCAGCATCTCCCCCGAGAGATGTGAAAGTCCTGCTTGAGCAAGAAGGGCTTTTGGAGGGAACACTACCTGTGTGTGTGTGTGTCCCCATCAGGCAGTCGAGTGCCGTGGGCCGCGGCAGCGCTGCAGCGGGGTCTTTCACACCTGGTAGACGAGCATATGCGCCTGCCGGCGTGTGAGCTCCTGATGGATCCACCTGTTGGTGCCCTTTTTCCACATCCTGGGAAATTTGCAGGCTTTTGGCACTGCAGTGCCGTCTGCCAGGGTACACGGAGGCAGATAACTCTGAGCAGCTGCAGCTACAAAGGAGACAATGCCAGTTCTTCTGTTTCTCTAAGTCTCCTCTCCTGAAAGCACAGTTTGGAATTTGAATTGAAGAATGGAGCTGGTTTGTTTTATCCCTTCCCCTTTTGGCTAAGCTCCTCCAGTGCTTGTTTTTCCACTCTGGTGCTCTGTTTTGTCCAGGCCTAGTTTTTGGCTTCAGTTCTCCCTACGTTTTAGCAATCTGATTCTTAAAGGCTTCATGCTCTTCCTTTGGTTTCTGCTGCTCCCGCCAGCTGGTTCATCTGCAAGATAAAAGGGAAAAGCTCACTGGGGGTCTCCCTCCTTTTCATCCACCCTGCGGCCCCTCTAAGGGGTGCTTCTAGGGGCAGGAGAACCTTCTCTCTGCGCAGTAGGAGCCGCCCCACTCCTTCGCGGCGGCTGTGAGCAGAACCCCTTGGCTT